GGTCGATGAGAGTGGTTTCGGTGGGAGGGGTGCTGGTCAAGCCACGCTTTTTATGGCGCTGTTTTGGCTCGCCGTTTTAGGCGTCGGGGTCCGGTTCGGGCGAATCCACGGAGGGAGGACGCTTTGGTTTCGGGTTCGGTGGTGGATCGGTCGGCTTGATCTCCGGTTTGGGACCAAACATTATTTGGTAAGATTGGTAATTAGATTCTCTTCTTTTTTCTCTACTTAATACCCAATTTGTATTAGTTAAATTGTTTTCTACATTTTTAGCCCCCCCACCCCACACACACACACAAACCCAAAAAAAAAATATAACTTTAGGTTGGAGTTAATAATTATAAGAATTATGTTTTTTGCCTTTTCTTTTTTATTTGTTATATATTTGAAACTGTTTCAGGTTTCTTTGAAAAGAAACTAGAAACAAGCTAGTGCAAACGCTCAGGGTACAACCACACTGAGTAGTGATAACTAACCTACTCCCTTTGAATTGTTCTCTCATTAGAAGAGAGGAATGATGCGCGCTCTGTTCTTTTCAACTTTATTTCCCTAGTTGACGACTCATCAATGAAGTCCACGGTTCTCTCGCGGTGATTTAGTTTAATTAGCATTATTTCAGTTTATTATATTGTCTTCTTTTATAGCGTCAGATTAGGTAGGCGGTTACTTATCCACATGCTTAGGGCCGAAAAGGAGAATATATATAGTTTGGGTACACATAAATTGCGAAGTGCACGTGCAAAGGAATATAAATTGATTGCGGTTAAATTAGGATTTATGAAGATGAGAGGGTCCAAATTTAGTGCGACCACTCGTACGGTAACTCAAGTAGATACGTCTTTCGTTCGATAAAATGCCACGTCATCGTTCTATTTAGACCGCCCGGCTGCAGCCAGGGACGGACCCACATGGACCGTGCGCGCGGCAGCGCCCCTAGTCTAAAATTTGCATTCTAAAACCATGCGCTAAGTGCGATTTGCGCTAGTTCTAAAGATTTTACGCTCCACCTTGAATTTTCAAACAGTTGGTGTTTAATATTCGTAAAATTATAATCTCGTTTGGAATTAGCAGTCTATTTTTTATTTCGATAAATAGATATTTATTGTCCGACCCCCGAGAAAGTTTTTCTACATCCGCCGCTTGTCGCGACGAACCGATCAGTTAACCATGCACGGTGTCATAAGCAGCGGAGGCGTGTAACGCGTTTTAATCGGTCACATTGGTCGCTCTCGTGGGCCCACATATCCCTTGTAGGATACTGGTTTAGGGTTTTGTGGACGGAGGACGATAAGAGGCGTTTGTTTTATTTTTGTTTGTTCGTGGCCCCATTCGAGAGTGAGCTTGTAGAGCTCATGGAGCACAAGCCAAACGAGCCTTGCGTTGGATGTGTGATTAAGCGAAGCCCGTGTTTGTGAAATAAACCGTACACGTGCCATCACTAGGTTGGTCGAGGGTTCGGTGTTTGGTGTGTTGATTGCCGGTTGGTTGGAATGTCCTAATCACCGAAAGACCCGATTCGGGGAGAACGTTACTTCTTAGTTCTTATGGATTGTTTTTCTGTAGATTCAATTATTTAATTGTACCTTTATGGGGATGCAAGCCCAGCTGTTGAAGGAGTCGGCCCACCAGCGGAAAGCGAGATTGAGTGCGCAGCGGGCCGCGCTAGCTCGTCTCGCAGGCCAGCCCGTGCGGGCACACTGATGGGACGAGCCAGCTCGCAGTCCGCAACGAGTCAAACGGGACGTTTCTCAACGCTTATTTTCGAGTATGGAGTTTAGCCCGGTTCGCTCGTGAGTCTGAAACAAACAAGACGAGCTAGGACACGGGTCGGCTAGTACGGACCACTTAATTGTTATTTTTCCCTGGTTTTTTAATTATTTTTAAATATTTTAAGCATTGTTTAACAATTAAAATTTATATGTATATAACAAATAACAATGCGACGATTATAAGAAATAACAAAATAATTTTACTAAGTAAAATTGTATATTTGTACATATTGATTGAGAGAAAACATCACAAATACAGAGATTTAACGTGACTTAAAGTGAATTTTACATCTTTGAGCAGCAAATAATTGTTCTACTACTAGGGGTGCCAAACCGTATCCGTATCCGAGGAAATATCCGTAACCGTATCTGTTAGGATACGAATATGGTTACTCAAATCTATTACTGATAGGATATGGTTACGGATATGGTTTTGTAGTGAAATATCTGTATCCGTATCCGAAAATATCTGAATACATATTGGTAATACTCTTACGATAGTTTTGATTCTTAGATTATGGATTTGTGGTTAATTTTGATGATCAAGATGTCTAATCTTAGCTTTTCAATCATAATGAACATATTAACGAACTCTTTTTGTATCACATGACTATATTTTTCTGAATACTATCTAGTTTTCTCATATCCTTTTTGTATCCACATGCATATCCGTTTATATATCCGCATCTATATCCGTAACCGTATCCGATTTTGATGGATATGAATATAAATTTTTCTTACCGACGTATATCCGTATCCGTATCAGTATCCGAGATGGGTAAGCGGATATGGATATGGTAAGTGCCATATCCGAGCTGTATCCGCTCCGTTAACACCCTGCTACTGTAAAAAAGTACAAGAACAAAAGAAATTAGACCAATTTATTTAAAAAATATTATAGTAACAATAAAAGGCAAATCCATGGGTCAAGGACTCCACATGGGCTCAGTGGCGAGATGAGACAGCCCACGAACCGCAGCGAGACAAGCATGTCGTGTTGTATCGCTTGCTCGCGGGCTTAGACATCAGCCTAGCCCACTCGTAGGACAAGATTAAGCGAAGCGGACCATGACACGTGCCGGCCCGACCGACCCACCGTGTTCTATTTTTTATTTTTTTGGATTTTATAAATGGTTTTTAGTTTTGTAATCTGTTTTAAGCATTGTTTAACACTTAAAATTATATTAATTAACTAACAACGCAAGTATTATAGAAATAAAAAATAAATTTATTAAGTAAAATTGTATATTTGTATAGAATGACAAAAAAAACATCGCAAAAATGTAGATTTTACGTGGTTCGGAGCAAGTCCTACTTCACAGGCGGTAACTAATTGTTCCACTATTTTAAAAATATAGGAATAAATTATAACAAATTCTAAGAAAACAAAAGAGAAAATATGTCAACTTGTGATAGAGTTCAATCTTCTTCATTCTTTTTGTCTTCCTCCTCAAGGAAAGTCGCACGTCCTCAAAAGACCCATTTAGATAGCGGGATCATTGTAGACATCCTCTTGAACCCAGCTATCAGTTCTTCTGTGCTCTTGCAGAAAATTAATGTTTATATTATGTATAGGTGAAGTTCCAATGTAAGAATTGATGAAATCATAAAGGGGGAAAATTGTATGCGAGCTAACAGGCTGGGTTTAGCAGGCCAGTCCGCTTATATTTAGGCTCAGCTCGCTCGGTGGGCCGAACAAGCTGCTGGCTTGCTTGTTAGTAGAGGCCAACCCAGCACGGTCCCGCCGCCTGCTATTTAGCGGGCCGAAGCGTGCTCGTCCCACGCAGAGTCGGGTTGAGTTGAGATCAAGAGCGAACCACGCGATCGGGCTCATGGGCCGACCCAGCCCAATGCCCACCCCTAACGAGCAGGCCAGACCACCCACTTGCAGGTCCATCTTACTCGTTCGCTGGGCCTTGCGGACCGAGTGGGATGATGTCCCGCATATAGCTGGGGGCTAACCCAGCTCGTCTCACAATCCACCATTCTAGCAGGACGATTTGGGTCCATTCCTACCCTAGGCCGAGCCTAGCCAAACGTGTGAGCCGAGTGAGCAGGTTCATGGGCTGACCCGTCCCTGTGCCTACCCCTACTTCGGAGCTAATGTAATTATGTGTCATGATCGATTGATTTTTTTAGTATAAATTAATTGTGCTAAGGAATGTGGGAAGTAATTAATTAATGGAATACATAATAAACTCTAAGTATAAACAACCTAGAGATTTATTAGTGCTAGTTGCAAAATATGTGAATATGATTAATTGTTTAGGTGCAAATACTTTAATAGAATATGTGCAAATACTTTAATAGAACAAAGAGAAAGATTTAGGAGAAAACAACAAGACTCAAAGTCTCTAACCATCAAATTTGTGGTAGTTAAATTCAAATTTGGATTGCTCTGATATCATATTAGAGTCCTTATCCATTATACAAAATCTTCGAAGTTGTGATGAAGATTGATAATTACATTTTTATATTCTAACAATATTAATGAATTGGAAGAAAAAGCTTACTAGTAGCTAACATGGCTGGCTTATTTGAACTTACCAGAAAGAACTTTTATTATTCCTTTGTATCGCACCAACCGCTAAAGTTAAGTTAAGTTAGTGCAATTAGTATACAATACTCATGCAATTATAATTATCAGTAAAAAAATTTATGGGCCAATAAAATCAAATATATACTGAAACACATATTGTTTTATTCCGCGCCGCCGCCGCCCCCCCCCCTATATTATATCGGTTTT